ACAGTTAACAAATGACCCCCAATTTTAGGGGCATCACATTTGTACCCATCTTATCGAAAGAAACAAGAAGCTTCTGCTCCATTAATCTTGTCCCTATTCAGCCTTACAACCAAAAGCTATCATCAACTAAAATCAACCATTGCATCTTATAGCACTATTGTCCTATCTGAATAACAAAAGTATAGCATTGCATCCTCTTCAATGCAAGTTCATATTGAATTCATTCTTGCAGAGTAAATCCTAGCTATCTACAATCACTCACCAATAACATGTATTAGTTAAGTTCCGAAAACACACCAGTAAGAGTCGAACCTAAAATGTCTGAGTTTATAATTCACCCTATGATAACCCTACACTATTGGGCTACCCATTCGGGTTTTTTTCGTATTGTTGATGAGTAAAAAAAACACTTCTCTAAAGATGCATCCCTTTATATTTATGTGGTTGATGACAGAAATGTCACTCCCTATATGTTTCTTTTTACTTTTTAAGGGTGTTCTCACATTCCTAAATTAATTATATATTATTTTCAAAGGAAGTTGGGATTTATTATGAAACAACCAATTTGGATTTTGCTTATGTATATTTTGTTCTCATTATAATCTTGGGCAAATGAAAGTTTGCACTCGGAACGATTATAAAATTTTTAATTTGTATCCTTAAAGATTAATTATTTTAAATTGCACCCTTAATGAAATTAATTAATAGCAATGTGACCCCAATCATAACGTCCATTGTAATTTTTGTCAAATTGACAAGCATGTGACATGCACTTGAAAAGGGAAGTTTGCCATAATCCAACAAAAATCATCACATGCAACTCATATAACTGTTATGGCCGAGATCACATTGCTACCAATTAATTTTATTGAGGGTGCAATTTAAAATAATTAATCTTCATAGATGTAAAGTGAGAATTTTTTAATCTTCCAAGTGTATACTTCTATTTTCCCTGCAATCTTTTTCTGATTTCGTCTTCTTTTCCCTTGGTTATTTTTTGCAGTGGTCAATTAATAAGGACATTGGCAGGTGTCAAGTACGGGAAGCATCACCAGACTCCAATGGAAATCATATACAATGTCATTTCTTTTATTGTTGCAATCATCTTCATAGTTTATTTTACAGTCTATGTTGAGAATAGTGCAGTTAGTTAGTTAGTTGCTTTGTTAGAAATTTGTTAGACTTTTATCCAAGCTGTATTTAATTAGTAAAGGATTAGTTAGTTGGTGATGGATAAGAGTCGGTGCATCTTTGTATAAATACAGTAGTGTTGTATGTAGCAAGGAAAAAGAATATGAATTAGAATTTTTGTTTTCTTCTTTCCATCTCTTTGTCTCTGTTTTACTTCAGTTCATTCTCTCCAAAATTAACATGGTATCACAGCTTGAGAGCTTCTTCTGCAAAATCAGTGGAGAACTCTGCACTTTCTTCACCCTCAAAATCACAAACATCTTCATCTTTAAACTCAATCGAAGATCCTTCGCATTCCTTCTTCCTACATCATGGAGATAGTCTAGGAGCGCTGCTAGATTAACCGGCAAGAACTATAACTCTTGGAGTAGATCTATGTTTATGGCTTCAAGTGCCAAGAACAAACTGTGTCATTGATGAATCAGCTTCCAAGCCTTCAAATCTCACAGATCCACTCTACAATTCATGGACTCGTTGCAACAATATGGTAATTTCTTGGCTCCTAAATACTTTGTTCAAAGAAATTGCTAGGAGTGTGCTTTATGTGAGCACTGCTAAAGTAACCTGGGATGATTTGAAGGAAAGATTTTCTCAGACAAATGGTCCAAGAATTTTTCAGTTACAAAAATCAATTTCGTCTTTAACTCAAGAACAAATCTCTGTCAATGCACGTTATACTTGTCTTAAAAGGCTTTGGGATGAATTGGTGAACTATCGTCCAATACCTGTTTATTCTTGTGGAGCCTTGAAAGAGCTGGTTACATATCAACAATAAGATTATATAATTTAGTTTTTGATGGGATTGAATGACTCTTATAATCATATACGAAGCCAAATTCTACTTCAAGATCCACTTCCCTCAATAAATAGGTGTTCTCATTGGTTCTTCAATAGGAATGACAGAGGGAAATTATAGCTTCTACTATTGCTTCTTCAAGTTTTGATTCTGCTGCTCTTCTGAATAGATCAACGTCTTCTGGACAAAGTAGCAGTAAGCAAAGCTACAATAAGGCAAAACCTGCTTGTTCACACTGTGGAATAACAGGTCATACTATTGACAAGTGTTACAAACTACATGGATATCCTCCTGGATATAAATTCAAAGGAAAAGGGAATTCTAACTCTTTTGCACATCAAGTTTCTGCACAGAATTCTGGAGATAATTCTGTTGACAGAGTGAATGCACATCCATCACTATCAATAACCCAAGACCAGATTCAGCAACTTTTGTCTCTTCTACAGACAGTGTAAAACTGGAGAACAATCTGCAGAAAACCAAATAGGTAGTTCTTATACTGATTCTCTCTTCCATCTTTCAGGTAATCCACTTGCTTCCTCCTATGCTCTTTCTTCACTGACTGATAATTCAGTATTAGTGAGAAATTCAGTAAGAAATTCTGGACTTCATGATAAGGTTCCTTGGGTAATAGACACAGGTGCCACTGATCATATAGTCTGTTCTGCAATATAGTCTATTTTGCATCTTACCTTGATTCTGTTACATCTGTTGTTCACACTTCAGTCAAACTACCAAATGGTAGTAAAGTTTCAATAAGTCATGTTGGAATAGTCAGATTATCAAGCAAAATTTTGCTGAAAAATGTTTTGTGTATTCCATCTTTTAGCTTCAATCTACTTTTTTTCCACCAGCAATCTTATTCATCAAATTCCTTGCTGCTTCTTATTCTTGGTTGGTCATTGCTTTGTTCAGGACCTGTCCACATGGAAGACGATTGGGATAGGTGAAGAGAAGAATAGTTTATACTATTTTCTACATGAACCAGCTCCCAAACACTCTTCCATTGTTTCAGCTGTTTCTACATCTTCAAATTTAAATTTATGGCATTATAGACTTAGCCACTTATCAGATCAAAGATTAGACATGCTACATAAACAAATTCCTGCAATTACTTCTTCTCATTCTAATCATTGTAATATCTGCCATTACACTAAGCAAAATAGACTTGCATTTCTCTTAGTCATACAATTTCACTGGTTCCTTTTGAATTAATCCATTGTGATATCTGGGGTCCTTTTTTTTACCCCTTCTTTGACTGGTTGCAGATATTTTTTAACCATTGTAGATGATTTTTCTAAATGCACTTGGGTGTCTTTAATGAAACTCAAGTCAGAAACAAGATCTTTGCTCGAGTCTTTCTTTGCAATGGTCAAAAATCAGTTTCAAATGAATATTAAAACCATTAGAACTGACAATGGAGATGAATTTGCTATGACTACCTTCTTTTTTTCTCAAGGAGTCGTACATCAGCATAGTTATGTTGGCATTCCACAGCAAAATGGAGTAGTGGAAAGAAAACACCAGCATCTTCTTAAGGTGGCTAGGGCTCTTAGGTTTCAAGCCCACCTTCCTCTTTTTTGGGGAGATTATGTCCTCACAGCGGCTTATCTTATCAATCGCATTCCTACTCTTGTTCTTGCTGGTCAGTCACCTTATCAAAAGCTTTTATCTTGCAAACCACAATACACTCATTTTAGAGTTTTTGGTTGCCTTTGTTATGCCTCTACATCATCACATAATGGGACCAAGTTTGATTCTAGAATAAGACAATGCATTTTCATTGCATATCCTGTAGGTGTTAAAGCTTAAAAACTTTATGATTTGAAGACTCACTCTATTTTTCTTTCCAGAGATGTGATCTTTCATGAATACATTTTGCCTTTCTTACTCCTCCTTTTCAGTCCTTTGAAGATCTTTCGGTTTTGTCCTTTCCCTCTACTGATATTTCTTATCCTCCCTTAAATATCCCTTCATTTTCAATCTTATTCTCCCCTCACATCTTCCACATTAATAGCACCTTCTGCTACTCTTCCTCCAGCTCCCCCTACCTCCTGGTTATTTGCAAGATTATCACTGTCATCTTCTTGCAGATTCCCATTCTTCTTCCTCTTCTATGTCACAGCTCTTCCTTCTCCAAGTACAGTTCACAGTATTTCTTCTTTCCTTACCTATCACAGACTATCCCCCACCATAGAGTCCATGGTCTTTCCATTTCCTCTCTTTATGAACCTAGTTTTTCCATAAGGCTGTTAAGTCTCCCCACTGGTGTGAGGCTATGAATGTAGAAATTCAAGCTTTGGAGTCCAATAATACCTGGACCATTGCTTCTTTACCTGCTAGTAAAACACCCATTGGTTGCAAATGGGTATATAAAATAAAATATAAGGCTGATGGCTCTATTGAAAGGTATTAGGCTTGACTTGTTGCAAAAGGCTACACACAACAGGAAGGATTGGAATATTTTGAAACTTCTGCCTCAGTTGCCAAGTTCACTACCATTAGATGTCTCCTTGCTCTTTCAGCAATCAAAGGTTGGCACTTATATCAAATTGGATGTTCATAATGCATTTCTTCATGGAGATCTTGTTGAGGAAAGGTATATGAAGCTTCCTCTTGGGTTTGATAATCAACAATCTGGCTATGTTTGTCGATTAAACAAGTCTCTTTATGGCTTAAAACAAGCCTCTTGACAATGGTTTTCCAAATTATCTTCTGTTGTTCTGGAATATGGGTTCTTTCAGTCCGAGTCAGATTATTCTTTGTTCACTAAGATTACTTCTACTTCTTTCCTAGCAATGTTGGGTTATGTAGATGATATCATCATTGTTACTGATGATTCTTCTGCTGCAGCTAATCTCAAGGATTTTTGATTTTTATGTTTGAACAGTGAGTATCCGGAAGACCTTAAAAACGTCATTTGAACTGACGTTTTTAACTTATATCTTACTATCCTTTTCTTTTCCCTCCTCTTCTTTCCTTTCTCTTATTTTCCCTTCTTCCCCCATCTCAGCCCTAGCCTCTCAGGCGAGACAAATCAGCAGCACCATCTGAAAGCCCTATTTGAATCAGCAGCACCAACAAGACCAGCAGCACCAGCTTCAGCACCACCATCTAAAACCCCAACCTCCACTTCCACTATCGGACACCCCCAAATCCAAGCACCACCACCATCGAAGCCCCAACCCAGCACCACCCACAATCTGAAAGGCCCAACCCCAGCACCACCCACCATCTGAAAGGCCCAACCCCAGCACCACCCACCATCTGAAAGCCCCCAACCCCAGCACCACCAGCTACTCCACTGCACCTCTGACAACGCCTCCACCACCTTCGGTGAGACCTCTGTAGATATTGAATGAAAAATATTGAAATTCTATGAAAATATTGATTATTGTGTTATTGAGTTGGTTATTGAGTTATTGAGTTGAGTAGAAATATTGAATTATTGAGTTGATTTGAAATATTGGTTATTGAGTTGATTATTGAGTTATTGAGTTGAGTTGAAATATTGGATAGATTACAAATATTGAAATATTGAGATGATTATTAGTGAGATGATTATTATTGAGTTGATTTGATTATGTAACTCATGAGTTGATTATTATTGAGTATCTATTTTGTAAAAATTTTAGCCTAATTTGTTTTTTAATAGGGTTTTCAATTCAGGTGTTGAATAGAGTTTGTGAACTTTGTAAGCTAATTTGTTCTAATTCTATGGTAATTCTAAAATTTAATTTAATAATCACATGCATTATGTATTTACTTGTACATAATTATCTAGCAATAACCCTTGCCTAAGTTTTGGGATTAAAATTGAATCAAATATTAATATGTTTATATTTTTATTTGTAAAAAATGATATAATAAATTTATATTCAGATAATTAATCAAAAAATATTTTTATTGTCAACTCATTTAATTCTAATGTTTTGTTTGTTGGTTGAAAAATTTATTAGTTGGTAATTAATCAAAACTTTTTCTGTCTTTTTCAACTATGTTAAAAACTCATTTTATTCCTTTGTAATTCAACTTTTGTACGAAGTTGAATCAACTCAGTTAAAAAATATATAATAATAATTAAGATTACATTTAAAATAAAATTGCATAACCTAAAATTTTCATAAATTGTTTGAGAATTGATTCATTATTTTGTGTTAACTTAATTTGCTTCAATCTCACTTCTCTTACGTAATCATTCATTCATTCCTCATTAAGTCCTTTCTAATTCAACATCTATACGAAACTAAAATTTTACTTTAAAAGAATATAATAATTCATATTATTTTGTATCTCTGTCAATCTCAATCGAAGTAGTATAGTTATGTCTCTTACTTATCAAGCAACACATTTTTCCTCAAAATAGGCATGTTGATTAATGCTATGAAATTACTTCAGGATTGTCATCCTTCAGTTGGATAGTCTTCATAATTGTGATAGAATTGTAAATGTAAGTCAATTATTGCCTTGTTAGCCAAGAAAATCGGCTACAATGTTTGCCTTCTTCATAACATGTTTGACTTCTAATTCAATACATGATAACATGTTACGAGATACCCTCTTTTGAGGATTATTTTTTTCAAACTTTCATATAAAGGTTGGATGTCCATCTTTATTAGTTTCCTACTAGTACATTTCATCATCATAGGTTTCTTAATTGATAAATTCTTCTAGATCGCATGCAGTAAATTCACATGGGACTTTGATTAACTATGGATCTATTATTCCTCAAGTATTAATCGTTTCTATCTATTTTCAGGTTCTTGTGAATTCAGAACTTACTTCAGGACAGAAACTAATTGAAATGACGGGAAAACAAATAACAGGTTTGCTATATTGGGGTGGGCGAATGGAATATGAGTCGGAGGGTTTATCATACAATTGTCCTCCCAAAGGTAGAATTGTTATTAATAGTGGTACATAACTGCCGGAGTTGTTGAGTAAAATTTACACTGTAATGGGGTTGGACAGGACGCATAACAAGTTGAAATTGACTTATAGATATCTTTTTACACTTGGAACAGGACCAAACATGAATACATATGTCGGTCTAGAAATTGTGAACGATGAACTTGTGACTTCTGTGGTTAATGTGGTACTTAATAACCCTAGCATTGCTAGTGTTACTTTATACGTGGAGACGGAGGATATCAATACTGGCATAGGCAGTAGTCAGACTGGAGGGTGCACAACAACAATTGACATGTCTTACACTAAGTTGCTTAGGCGAGAATGGGTACCTTGACTTTTCCAACTTTCGAGGTGACGGGTGAATGTTCAACTCCCGTGGAGATGCAGGTAATGGATGAGTTTGGACAGTACTCTTACACCCAACAAAGAACTAGCTCCGCAACATATGGTGGGTACTCAGGCAACAATTCACTGAGTTAGAATTTTCAAATGGGTGAGATGGGAATTGAGTTGGGTGAACAAGATGATGGTTATCAACCAATAATGCACCAAAACTCAATCAGGGAATATGAAGAAATGTGTGCAAATGATCGTACAGATATCTCCGATGATGATGAAGAAGAAGAAGAGTTTGAGGAAGTAATGATTGCCAAGCCAGATGACGAAGACATTGAGGTTGTCCATGAGGTTCAGATGCATAAGTCTTACTCCACTTCATTCACAACCACAGAATTTGGTCAATATTCTGAAGCAGATAGCTTAGTACCTTCATCTGAAATAAATTTGTGGGATCCGGTGAAGATGAAGTTGGCGAAGGGCATGGTTTTTCAGGATAAAGGTTCATTAATTAGAGTAGTTAAATGGTATTCCATCAAGTTGAATCAAGATTATATCGTGGTCGAGAGACGAACACAACGGTGTGGGCTGTCCAATGCATCATGTACATGCAGCCTAATTGCACCTAGAGACTACGTGCTTGTTTTAGGAAAAAACTAAAATTGTTTCAGATCACAAAATATGATGGACCTCATATCTACTTCTATCCTAGAATGAGTCGTGACCATCAGAAGTTAGACTCTGACTTTATCTGTCATAATATATTGGGACTCATGGGTGATACACCACAAACAAAATATCAACAATTCAGAAGAATATAAAGGAGAAGTTTAAGTATGATATTTCCTACAAGAAAGCATGGATTGCGAGAAATAAAGTCATAGCTAAGATTTTCGGTGAATGGGACTCGTCATATGACAAGTTGCTAAAGTTTTTGGTGTCATCAAGAAGTATAACCCTGGCTCGATTGTGAAGTGGCGGTACAACTATGAATCTCCTGAATATAATAGTTTTTTACGAGTATTTTAGGCATTCAAGGCAAGCATTAAAGGGTTTAAATATTGTCGACCAGTTGTCAGTATTGATGAGTCATTTTTGCGTGAATAGTACAAGGGAAAGTTGTTAGTGACAACTGGTTTTGATTCTAATAAGTAGTTATTTCCCATTGTGTTTGCTATTGTGGAAGAGGAGAATCAATCAAGTTGGGTTTTTTTCCTATATTACCTTCGACGGATAATTCTTAGACATCGGGAAAAGATATGTTTAATTTCTAATAAGCACGCGGGAATCCTTTCTGCTGTGAATATGGAAGATTCTGGGTGACATCCACCACATGCTTATCATCGCTTTTGTCTTCGACATGTTTGTAATAATTTTAATACATAGTTTAAGGATGGACATTTGTACGATCTTATGTGGAGGGCTTGCAAGACAAGACAAGTTCGCAAGTTCGATGAGTTGATGACCCAGATATGCAACGTCGAAGAGAAAGCGTACAAATACTTGACTGATATACCATTGGAGAATTGAACATTAGCCCATGATGTTGGACGATGATATGGTATCATGACTACCAACATTTCAGAGGTTTTTGATAGTGTTCTCCAAGGTACTAGGTATTTGCCCGTAACTGCTTGTGTGCAATCGATATTTTATCGGGTCACTAAGTAACATTTTGAACATCGAGACAGTGTGACAAAATGGAAAACAAATGAGATGGAGTTTCCTAAGACTGTTGTGGAACGATTACAACATGCACAACAAATGAGTCGTGTTCATGAAGTGACGCCATTTCATAAGGAGCGTGGTCTTGCTGAAGTGACAACTAGTGGTCATAAGCAAGTTGTGTGTCTTGAAGATCGTTCATGCACATGTGGAAAATGGGAAATTTATAGAATTCCTTGCTCTCATGTATTGGTTGTATACTCTTATTATCAGTTGCATTTTCAGTCCTACATAGATCCCATATACAGCATCGTTACTTTGGAGAAAATTTGAGCTCCCGAAATGTTTTCACTGGAGGATGAGCATTACTGGGACGATCCTCCACGTCCCAAATTAGTCCCTAATCGTAACCAACGTCGAGACTTGGTTAGTCGGCCACGGACGATGATGTGCATACGGAATTTGGCCACAAACCCTCTTTTGTGAATTTGTTTTTTGAAAACCCCTTGGGTTGGGGTAAAACCTTGCAAATTTCATATCAAATATGTTGGCACTTTGAAATATTTTTTGGGCCTTGAGGTAGCACGATCTTCTAAGGGCATTTACATTTGTCAATGCAAATTTTCTCTTGAAATTTTGCAGGATTCTGGATTCCTTGGAGCCAAGCCAGCTAAGTCTCCAATGGAACAGCATCTCAAATTAGACAGCACTACAGGAGTTGCACTGCTTGATGCTTTTGTTTATCACAGGTTAATAGGCAGACTGTTATATCTCACTCTAACCAGACCTGACCGTTCTTATGCTATATAAGTTCTTAGTCAATATTTGGAGACTCCTAGACAACCTTATCTGGATGCAGCACAAAGAATTATGCGTTATTTGAAGTCTACACCAGCACAGGGTCTTCTCTTTTCTGTCCATTCTGTTATTTATCTCAATACTTTTTTGTGATGCAAACTAGGCTGGCTGCCTTGATACACGCAGATCTGTTACTGGCTTTTGTGTATTTCTTGGCAATTCCTTGATCTCTTGGAAGTCTAAGAAACAAACAGCAGTTTCTAGGTCCTCTGATGAAGTAGAATACAGCGTCATGGCTTCTACTGCTTGTGAGCTCACTTGGCTTCTTGCCCTTCTTGCTGATTTGCAGGCCCCTCATTCTCAGCATGCTCTTTTGTTTTGTGACAACCAAACTGCTCTCAACATTACAGCCAACCCAGTATTTCATGAAAGAACAAAACATATTGCTTGGATTGCCATTTTGTTCGGGAAAAGATTCAACAAGGCATTCTCAAAGCGCTGCATGTCAATTCTTCTAATCAAATTGGGGATATCTTCACAAAGCCCTTGGGTCTTCCTCAGTTTTTCTTACTACATAACATGATAAATGTTCTTAACATCCACACTTCATCTTGGGGGGGGGGGGGGGGGGGGGGGGGGTGGTGTTGAGAATGGTGCAGTTAGTTAGTTGCTTGACTGTCATAGTTAGTTACTTAGCTGTATTAGTTTGTTAGACTTTTATCCAAGCTGTATTTAATTAGTGAAGGATTAGCTACTTGGTGCTTGGTGATGGATAAGAGTCGGTGCATCTTTGTACAAATACAGTAGTGATGTATGTAGCAAGGGAAGAGAATTTATGTTTTCTTCTCTCCATCTCCTCGTCTCTGTTTTACTTCAGTTCATTCTCTCCAAAATTAATAGTCTATGCGGAAAGAACTCAAAATGAGTGTGTGGGTATAGTTGTTGTGTTGCGTGGGTGTATTTGCTGTGTGAGTGTGTGCGTATATTTGTTGTGTGTTGTGTGGGTGGAGATTGAGAGGAGATAATGGACAGAAAGAAAGACCGGGAAAGATAGAGAATGGAGATGAAAATTGGAGGGTTTGTGATTATTGTCTAAACAGGTTTTTAAGTTTTTGTTTTTTAAAATTATTTTTAAAAATATATAACAAAATAGGTTTTACAATATAAAAATATCAAAACATACTTTTTTTAAAATTCTTCTTAAAAATTATTTTTGAATATTATTTTTTAAGATGCAAATCAAACAGGCCTTAGAATTTCTTTTTACTTGGTGTTCAAGTTTGCGTCGAATACTCCCTCGAGTTCTGATCTGGTCATTGTAACTCGAACTAGTTTAAGAACATGTCTTTTGAAGAACAAAGGTGACCGGCCCTTAAAGAGTATTATTAGTATCAAACTTAAAACCTCTTACCTACAAGAAGACATGTTTGACCTAAGGATTGAGGAAATAGGATTTGTAATTTGAGAAATGAAGATAATACTATATAGCTGCAATGAATAACATATTCTTCATTTTTGGTACGTTGAGCAACTCTCTCTCTCTCTCTCACACACACATTTATATTCCATTTCTCCTCTCTCTTCATCTTCTTTTTTCGTGTGCTTTCTTTTTTATTTTTTTCTTTTTTCTTTTTGTTCTACAATCAAAACTATCCTGACCAATTTACGTGCACTTGACTCGAGGCCGACCAATAGACAAGCTAACAAAGCAGCCGCCTAGGGCCTCAAAAAGAGGAGCCCCCAAATTATTTTTGTGGTCTTCACCTATTACTTTGGCCCATGAAAAAATTTTAGACACAAAAAACATATAAATTCTTAAAAAAAGTCCAAGTAGAATCAAGAGGTCCAAGAATCTCTCCCTCTAACAGTCCAATCACTGAAATGTCAAATGTCACAATGCATTTAAAGCCTACAAATAAATCTCTCTCTCTCTCTCTCTCTCGCACATTGAAGAGGTAAAAAAAAAAACCATGAAGTAAGCCTTGATCTCACTACGGCCCATACTTTTATCATGTATTATTGTTCCATTTTTATTAAACTTTCTCTTAATATAACCATTTGTTTTGCTTACAAAAATTTGAGTTTTGAACATGTCAACTAAAAAATATGAATCTAGATATTAAAAACATAAAACTTGAATAAGATATACTAACAAAATGTGAATATAATAAATTAATAAGTAATTTTGAATCACAAAAAGAGATAATAACAAATTTTAAATGAAATTAGTCATTTGCTAAAATTATACTTATAATAAATTTTTAAAAGGTCTCATTTATAATTTTCGCTTAGGCCCTCATCTTTCGTCGAGTCGGTCTATCTTGACTAATCTCTTTCTCACTCCGATCAAAAATAGGTCATTCCCGCCGAGACTATAGTATTTATAAAAGATAAATTTCATTTTAAAGAGTTGTCAAATTTTGAATTCAAAATATTTGAATTTACAGTTCGTCTCTATTACAACTTGAGTGACCTTTATCATTTTCTTGGTATGCTTTCATGACCTACATCCACCAACTTCTTTTGTATATGTAGTTATGCCATGTGAACGTGTGGTTTTGTTTAAATAAAAAGCTGGGTTTGAATTGAATACACGAAATTTGCATAGAATTACGTGGTTATGGGAATTTTGGTATTTTGATAGTGATGCAGAAGACCAAATGAACAAGTGCCATTAGAAAACGAAAATGTGCAGCTCCTATAGCGATTGTATTGATAGAGATGGAATCTTCCTTGGTCGAGCACATATATAAAAGAGAAATCGAAAGAACGGTGAGCCATGGCATTTCATAAAGAGAAGCTAAGGCAAAGATCATTGAACATTATGGGTGGTGGAGGTGACAGTTGTGGCGGCATAATGATGGTGGTATTGGAGGCGGTGGTGTTAGTTGTGGAAGTTGTTCCAACAGTGGTAGTGGTGGTGATGAGTTGGTTCTGGTGTTATGATATTGTAGTTATATTTTGTTGGATTATCTATTTTGATGTTAATTGGGTTATTATTAGATGATACTATAGTCGGCAAATTAATCTGTACTCATCGTAGCTCAACCTCGAACATAAGCAACAACCGACCTGACCTCCTAATCTCTAAATGAGCTCCTCTTTCAGAAAAAGTTGTACCAACTACCAAGCACCGTCCCAACAACTCATCCAATGATTTCATGAGCTCAATCCCTTGAGTGACATCACCCTGTTTCTATAAGGTCCTGTCATGTAATATCAAAAAATTTAGTTTCTAACAGCTCAATATTCATTTAACAAAATCTTAACAAATTTAAAAACCATATGATGATAACATAGGGACCACCGCACCTGTGGGTATAAAACACCAAGGCCTAATACACCTTCCTCGAGTAATAGACAATCTCCCTAAGGAATGAGAAATTCTTTTAAAATAGATTAGTCAAGCATTTCAATTAGTGAACCACTATAATATGTGTGTCCATTTCATTACCCAATACTCATTTCATACTCGTACTAATACACACAAGCCTCGAGATCTTTAGCTTAAACATCAATATCTCACTTTGAGTTCACACATCATTATTATCACATGAGCGTGTTGTTTTAATTTATTAAGATGAGTGAAAAGGAATTATAATTGAATCATATCTAATTTATTATTTATTCTCACAACCTATCAAGCACACCAATTTACACTTTTAATTATGTCAATTGAACTATTAACACTAACACAACACAAAACAAAATCGACACGACATACCCCAAAACTAACATAAAAAATCACCATAAATAATAAAGAGTAAGTTATATAGATTTAAAAACTAGACTTAAAAATTAGACTTGATAATCTCAATCATTGAATAGGTAATGAGTCTCAATAAATGCTGGGACCTACAGTGAAATCAATGGTTGTAATTATCAAGTCTAGTTTTTAAGTTCATGTAACATTGCTCAATAATAAATGATCGGACTAATTTTATGCACAAATATGACATTCCATATAACAGGTACCGCATGAAAAATAGCTCCAACCTTTTTTTTATCTTCATGAATTGTGTTTAGTCAGAATTTGGATGTAGTAGATTTTCAATTTATAGGATACCCAAATCTTGGTTTTTAACCTTTTTTAGAATTTGGATATAGTAGATTTTCAATTTATAGGAGACTCAAGTCTTGGTTTTTTTTGGTCAAGTCCCAAGTCTTGGTTTACTTCAGAGAAAAAAAAGAGTACTCTGTAACTTGGGGTGTGGTTCACTATTTACACATATGATACAAACTCAAAATAACACCAATCACCATTCCTAATAAAAGAGGAATACAAATCGAACAACTTGAGCTTACTAAATTCCTTCACTCGGCCAAGTAGTGTTGTAAAACTATTGATTAAATATTGGCATACTAAAACATTAAGGATTGTCCAGTTTGTCCTCTTACAAGAAAAATATCTCGAGTTCAATATTTTTTACACTTCTTGAGGACTAACCGCCCTTATTCTTCATGGAATATGTATTTAGTTTAAATTACGATGACCGACTCAAAACTTGAGAAAATAATTGACACAAACATAAACACCGTAAAAAAAAAAACAAATAATGGGAGTCTAAACTCCTCCCCGCCTTCAAAAACCTTTAAAACAAGTAAACTTACTAAATTCCAATCCAAGGTCATGATTACTTTGTTAAGTCCTCATTAATCACGGATGTTGGAGACACAAACCCTAATCTTTCACAATATTTGCCCTAGATAACTATTCTAAAATCTTAACTCGTTATCTCATGGTTGTTGCCCAACACTTGCAATTTCCTTTCCACCTTCAGAGACCAAAAAAAAAAATGGAGAATGTCTCGATCAGCTGGGTTTACACAGTTCCATTGAAAACTGGTGAGTCCAATTCATCCGCTCCATATATGCCTTTTACCACGTTCAAACATTTTGAACGAAAAGATACGAAAATAACTAACAATGTTGCATCACATGCTCCAAAGCTGGAGAGAGTGACACAGAGAGAGAGAGAGAGAGAGAGAGAGGGGTTTTTTTTCTCTTTTTTCATCTTCAAACAAAATAACAATAATAGTACAATGGGCAGAGGTAAAACAAGGGAGTACTCCCCAGGAGAGGATCGTCTTAGCAAAGATACATTCACTGCCCTCAACAAGGTCGCGGGAGTGGCTTTCCTGCCTCTGCATCAAATACCCGTAGCTAGGCCTAACAAGACATTTACAAATCTCTTGGAAATGAGCACACTCGTCTCAGATGGAGCTGGGGAAATTGAGAGCGAGTATATCAATTATGCATTGAAGTCCGAGGATTTGGCTGTGTGAATAGAGTGTCACCGCAGTCAATGGGGGTATGTGTAAGAGGGTTCCATCTATCAAATATTATTCGCCCTCCTCGGCCAATCCTTCCATGAAAGTTAAAGGAGTGCGCAGATGTACCATTCGGTATTGAAGAATCTGATGGTGGTACAATTCCCGCAGCTGCCAACTTTTCTGGATCCAGAGATTTCGTGAACAGCAAAACGGGCTCACTTGGATCCTGCATTAACCCCAAAGTTCAAAACTGATTTCTAGTAAATAGTAATGCATTTATCCCATAAGGGAAGGCAAGTGCCAACATCTTCAACCTCCCATAACGACTATTTTTCTTTTGATTCATGACTCCATAAGTGCCTCGAAAAAATGTCTTTAAACCAGTGACAGCTAAGGTAGTAGCAAAAATGAGGGAGGGACATTTACTGGGGGCAAAAAGAAAAAGGGGGAGGGAGTATAAAAATTGTAAAGATTGGTGATTTTGTTCGAAAAGAGTAATTTTGTAGTACCAATTTCTGAAGCCATCCGTATGGTACATGTCTCCGCCTGAACTCTCGCTTCATGACTCCTGCAGAAGCCATCACCAGCTTTGAATCTACGAAAGGCAGATTATGTACTGCAGCAGGACGGGTACGTGGACGGCTGTTTGCAACATCATCTGAGTCTACAAATTCCTCCTCACTTGAACCAACCTTGCAGGGGAAGGATGGCAATCCAGGAAGAGCCAAGCTATCTTCAATGAGCTCAGTTTCATGCTGAAAAATCGACAAAAAATGGCTCACCAATTAACAATATTATCCGAAGTAAACTTAGAGTGCACTTGCATGGCCCAATACATCTAAATCATCACCACAAACACAAACACAAACACAAACACAAGCACAAGCACAAGCACAAGCACGCCATTTATCAATGGGAAGTAAACTTGAAGTGCACTTGCATGCCCAATACAAATCATCATCACAAACACAAACACACCAGTTATCAATGGGAAGTTGGACATCAAGTAATGCGACTTCTATATATGAAAAAGTTGTACAATCCAAACTAAAGGCATTCACACAACAAATCTTCACCACCGTCTCATGCGTGCATCCAAAGGAAGCTTTCTAAACAGGTCACTTAATTGGACGGCAAAATCCCGCGAAAGGATCAAAATTTTTTGGTTTCCACTAAACCAATTTAGTTTTCCAAAAGAAATCAGTGATTGAATATAGAAGTTTCCATGTTGTTTCGGAATGTTTCAAGGTGTTTTGAGTTGTTTTGGAATGTTTCGAGTTATTTCGAGGTGTTTTTGACACATTTCAAAAATAAATTTTCAAATTTTTTCTTTGTTCCCGAAATAATCCCAAAACATTCCAGAACGGTATTTTTTGTGGCTGAACAAAATTATGTAATGAAACAAACAGCTCTGGGAGATTTCAAATCACTATGAACACCTCAATGTAATTCCGGGATAATCCTTTATTCTAATGACCAGGAAACGAAGAATTAAGGAAATAAAACGACTCTTGTCCCTAGTAGGTGAATCTCTCCCGTGCGCATTCGCTAGGGCAGCATGCTCATTCCTTTTTTGAAAGAAATTTTGATCTTTGGTCCCCGACCAAAAAAAATGTCTATATCACAGAATTGTATTTTTGCAAGACCAGCTTTCATCATTTGAAAAAATATAGGAAATACATGACAATATTAAAAAAAATATACAATTTTCACCATCAACCACGAACATTTATGATATTCTACCCTAGTAAAGAAATGGCATTCAAGCCACAAGATGACGGATGCATTTAAGACGTTTCCTAAACATTCATATCATGATATTGCAAAGAGCGCGCAAACTTGTCCAAATTGTCATCTGGGAAATAAAAAGAATAACAATAACATAATCCACAAATCCCATATCACAAAGATACTGTTTCACAGTGTCTCTCAAGCACTAATCAGATTTTATTCTCCATTAAAAACAATGGAAATTTGCTGCATTTGCGATGTTTATTAGCACAGCCAAAGATGATTACCTTGTACTTCATTTGAATCCTCTGAAGGCTAACTTCACTCTCAATGACATCTCTCTTTTTCTCCTCTCTCTACATACAATGACATTGGCAGGAATGAGCATTACTAGTGACAGCAAAAATCCTCACCATACACAACTTATCTGAAATATTATAGAACTTCAATAACAAAGAAAACTTACCTTGATCAGAGCCTCGAGTAAGATCTTTGCCTGGTCAAGATTGCGTCTGACCTGATATAGTGAATTAAAAGAAAAAAAAAATAAGGATGAATAAAGGGGGAAAGTAATTAGGAAGTTATATTGGAGACAGATAGTCAAATACAATCAAGAAATGCAGCATATACTTATTTAACAATCACTTAGAAGCTCAAAGTAATATTATTCCACTTATTTGTAAATGTTATGCCGTTTCTATTCAGTGATGAGCATACAGATGACGGCGTGCATTTTGTGGTGGCATTCCAGTTTGGTCCCTATAACCTTTTTGCTAGGAGGGTGCACTGGCACAGAACTAACTTTGTCTTAACTCACACAAAGTGGGTGCTCTTATATTTGAACTCAACCTCATGGTTGTTAGTCCGAACATCTTTTTTTCAGTAAGAGTTGCTACCAAACATCTTGCACCGGCACTTGCCAATGACTCCGTATTTTACTGAGGACATGTATTTCATCTTCCTACTTCAACTTTTGGAATAAGCATCAGCACCATAAGAAATCATTTCGGTATCCATCCAATTTGCATACCCCTTTGCAACATCCTGGAGGGTTTTTGATTTACTAAACAGTGTGTAGCGTTATATCACAACTGCAAGCTGGTATGTAATGAACTACCAAGAAAAAAAAATGAACTACGAAGAAAAACAGTCTACTGGTTCCAAAGTATCACCAAAAAGATACTCTGCTCAAAAGAAACATCCTTGATCCTACCAATAGTCTCACCAAAAAACAATGAAGATACTGTGTAATTAACAAGAGAGAAGGATTCTCTTGTGATGTGCGGGAGGGCTGGGAAGTATACAAAAAAATTTCAGTGAACTACTCAATGGAAAACCCAGTTTAAACATTTCATATTTTTTTTACAAGAAATTTTTCAAAATACATTTAAGCATGTAAGGCCAGATAAAGAACTTTGAATTTACAAGCTCGCGTTATCATGGTGCTCACCTGGCGAAGCTTTTCAAATGACTGCACATTGTTTTCCCTCCTTTGCATCTAAACATTAGAACACGAAGCACATAACATACCCATTATTTTGATAATATATGCCTCGAGGCAAAGCCATTCAGTAAAGCGAGACAGCCACATACCCTTCTTGTATGGAGCCTGTGCGCTTTCTCTCTTGGCCTAAACACATTATATGGATTGGTATCATTTACTGGTGGAGGAGGCTGTGAGGACAAAAGCAGTTTAAACAGTCATTAGTTTACACTCATGCACAGCTGAAGCAAAAACTTTCATGCACTAAATCTCATGAAATTTATATACTCATGAACACACATCCAAATGGTTAAATGCTGATCTGGGAATGTTACACTCAAATGTGACCAAAGCCAAATGCTACGCACTTAGATTTCTATATTTTAAAAGAAAAAAGATAAAGATGTGGTAAATGGGAAGTTTTGCTAGTTAAAAAAACTAATGCCACAGGGATTTCAAAACAAAAGGCAAATTTAATTCTGGAACATTGAACAATACAGGTGCCAAAAATACATGTTACAAAGAAAGGGATCTCATCCCCCCACCACCCCCAAAAAAAAAAAAAGGGAAGAGGGAAAAAGTATGTAGATGAAGCTGAAATTCATGGGTCTGCCACTCTGCATAGAGCCATTCTTGAACACATTTAAGAGCCAAATTCAAAACGAACTCCCAGTGTACATTTACTTGTGCAAAACTAAAGCAATGATGATTACTAAGTGTGGTAATTAGATATTTTTTCGATGACCATAGATTTTATTAAGGATACGATCAACCCCTTTCTGTTCATCAAAATGTTATACAAAAATCAAGGGAGAAGCTCAAGTGCTCACATAAGCAATCCTGTTATGAAACAGGTAAAAAACCTGCCAAAAAAGGTTACTGACATTTGGATAAAGGATTTGGCATCATGAGTTACATAGACATGTAAAGGAAATTATCAGGTAAAACATCAGAAAAGCAGCCATTTCCCCGATGTATCAGTCAGTACCTGCAGCGTCCTCCCCCAATGGCCAAGAGAGAGAGAGAGAATAACACAGGTTAAAATCATGCAAATTCACATCAACTCATGCTGTGCCCGAAGACTTCAGATTAAATGCAACTATATGTATTCAGAAGGAAGAAAAGCTCCGAATTTTCCAAACTGGAAACGGACCTTAAACTGTTACTTAGGCTCAATCGCCAATAAGGAATAGAAGATTCAAGAAATCAAGCTTTGTTAAGTGAATGGATGGTATGGAATGCCTATGAGGTAATATGCAATCCAAGCTACACAAATAACCTGAAAGGGGGAGTTTAGTAAGATAATTATGAGGCCAACCAACCTTCAGGCAAGAAGGTCAAAAATTACAAGACAAGAATCCTCACAAATTTGGCTATGCTCAATGGATATGTGAAAATACAAGATATTAGTTTCTTTGGTGTTCATTGGTGACACCCTATAGACCATAGTAGCGAACTAGGTTTTATCTAACCAAATACTGGGGGCAAAGGTGTACTCATTTGAGGTGAAATAAGACATCTAGCAACCACAAAAATAAAAAAAAATTGTTCATTGGGAAGAAAATGAACTAGATCAGAATTAAAATGAATTTTATGATTCACTAGTACAATTAGCAATAGCAAAATTTTCTGCAAATTTTCATTGAAAACCTTCATTATATTATTTGACATTGTTTAAAGAGCTACTGCTCTGAACTCTGAGCCTAAATGGAGGTTAGTACGATCAGGACCAGTATGGGTTCGTAAATGGATTGTAAAATATATGATTGAGCAGAAAAGAATAATAATGTGATGTGATCATGTGATCAAATGTTTCAAACCTTATTCTTAACAAAATTTAAAAGTACTTTCATTATAAACAAGAGCCAAATCTAACCTGCAAACGCCGCAGAATCGGTTTTTGCCATTTTTCTCGCTGGCAGAAAAGAAAATAACAAGAAAAAGGGATGCAGATGAGAACTCATCTTCTGAATTCATCTGAATTTTAAAATCATTAGCAGGAGAGAACCATAAGGCAACAATTAATAAAAACTGGAAGAATTTCTACAACAAAAATTTTTTGTTTAAGCAAGAAGCTTTTATCACGTCAAACATGAAAGACAATGTCTGCGATCATCAACAACTTTGTTTTTTACAGAATACCATATCATAGGTCTTGTAACCATGTCCACAACCAAAACAAAGCCTTTGTCCTAGCTACTGTCTCTGAACTAAATTCTGAAAGATCAACAAACATATATAATTTGTAACATCAATATGTATTCTTAAGTAGAGTTAACAAATAGAAGAAACACATTCTATACCACCAAAAGTGAGAACACGTTGTTTCGTGTAAAGCAGAATATGTGAACCTTCCACCAAATATGCTTTTATCTCATGAGACAAAAACACCCACATGCACTCATACAAATATGTACATGTGCATGTTTTTTGCTTTTTTGAGTGTCTAAGGTTAGCTATAGCAACTTTATCAAACTAAATATCCTTCCTTCACATAATAGTCAATCGTGCCAAATACCAAGTCAATTGAAGATTGAGCTAGGAAGCACGAACACTTCATTTTAACCAAGTTTCAGTGTTAGACATGTCTAGGACACGAACATGCTTCGTACACGCTCGAACACATTTCAGACACATTAAAATGAGTGTCCGATTTTTTTATTGTTAAATTTTTTCACGACACGCTTTGGACACATTGGGGATACACGATTGACACGCTCAAGACACATTGGGGACACGCTCAAGACACATGAAGGACATGCTTTGAGACTTTCTTCCAAAGTTTTGAAAACTTTTCAAACTTCATCATCAAGGAAGTTATTTTTGTAATTTTAAAGAAATATGAGTCAAAGTCATAATATAAAAAAAGTTATAATCACTACATGAACATAGAACATGGATATAATATAATCGGACACGAATATGAACATATATACAAATAGAATAAACTTTTAATATGAAAGTAATGTGATGAAAAATGGGATTTCAAAATTGGGCTCTTTGAAATTAATGAAAATTAGTATTATGAAGTGAAATATTTTTTGAAATGAAAATTGTAGTATTCATTGATTGTTGGATCATGAATGTTAATGATGAATGTGCATCAGTATATCTTTTATTGTATTTTTTGTGTGGTGATATAATGATTTGAATTTTAAAAATCAGGAAAAAGATGAATTGAAAGATTATTATGAAAATATATTTATTTTTTCACATGATTATATAAAATGTGTCACTATCTTACTTTTGAAAAAATTTCATGTCGGCGTATCCATGTCCCATATTCATGTCCGTGCTTCTTAGATTGTGAGCTCTCCAATCCATATCAAAGTCCACATTTGAGGTTTAATTAATTCTGCTAAAACGGAATGAGAAATCAATTCTAAATGCTACTCATATAACAACACTTGACATTGAGCATAATGACCAGCATTACTGCAATACAATATAAGAAAAATTACTTGGTGCAGAAGGAATATATGGAGAACATGAAAATCATTACACATACTTCAGATGAACATACACCTAAAGATTCCACAACAATAATCCGCAGCTGTTCGTGTTCTTTTAACCCCTCCTACACAACAACATTTTTATAATTATTTTGTTAACGTTCTTTTTTCTCACGCCTAATCATGTCGACTTCGAGTATTTGTATGTGTTAGCCAATGCAAAAGTTACCTTATTGTGTCAAGCAGGGCAAAATGTCAAGAGAATCAAGTTTCAATCCATGATATATTAAGGCCCATTACGATGCAGTTCTTCCAGTCAAAGAAATGATATTATGTGCATAACTGTGTGAATTATAAGGAACCCGACATCCATAGTAAAGCTTCTTTCGCATAGTCCAAAGAAACAATTTTAAGTTGTTCTCAAACAATTCTAAACTTTGCAACAAAACCCACAAAGAATACTACATATCAGAAACAGGAAACCAAAAACAAAAGAGTAATTATTCTCTACGAAGGGCAGCTCATTCACAAATCAAACATCATGTCCCAATCAATATATAATGTGCTAATCAATACATCATGCAGTAATTGATACATCATGTGGTAATTGATCCATACCTTGTCTTTCCAGTAACTATAAATAGACTGGAAAACTCCATATTTTATGGAAAGTGCTTGTAAGGCCTGGCATTTTAAAAGAGGATAAACTATTAGGTCATAGCAATCCAGAAAACTGATTCCCCAAAGGCAGATGTCTATCACAAGCACCAAGCCGCAGAGAATTTAAGCATATGAACAAAGCCGATTTCTTATCCATACATTGAGAGCTGCTGTAACTATTATCCTGCTTACTCGTATCTAAAAATGGGTGATTCTTGACTTCAATTATCCATTAAGTTAAAAAATTCATGTTGAAGTAGTAGACTTAAGATTTTCTATCATAGTACAATGATTTTTCGTTTATAGGATAGCTAATTCAATTTATAAAATACAATTATTTGTAGCATGCCGCAGTTGTGCCCATATCCTACTTTTTAAAAATTAGTCATGTCGATGTGTCCATATTGAAAGTTTTATTGGGTGCAAAATGATACTTTCTGTCAAGTTAATAAACTAGATTACAAGAATATATATATATATATCCCAAGAAATTCAGAAAACCACTAGACTACCCAAAGACAAATAGACCCCTATTATAAAAACTTGTATACACTCTCACACTACCACCCGTCAAACTCATGATGTGAGCCTAAAGAGCATCAAGAGTTTGTCAAATAAGAATTGAAAATGGAAGTGAGACTAGGTGAAAAAATCTGTAAGCTGCAATGAAAAATATACAAACGGTAAAATAATAGTGTCTAGCTGAAGAAACCATCAAGTTGAAATAGAAACCATCGATGAACTGCTGCAACAGAATCAGAGTACGAACAGTAGTCATTTTGGCAACAGAAACAAAAGTTTCCTTATAGTCAACACCATATTCTTGAGAAAACACTTTAGTGACTAATCGAACTTTATAACGCTCAAGGGAACTATCAAAATGAGTCTTAAACTTGAAAACCCATTTGCAACCAACAACATTTTTACCAGCAAGCGAATGAACTAAATCCCAAGTACAAGCCTTATCGAGAGTAGCCAATTTGCCATGTGTTGCGTTAATCCAATTAGACTCAATACAAGCCTCTTTATAAGACTAAGGTTCAAAATAAGAATAAATAGAAGTAAGAAAACCACGATAAGAAGGAAAAAAACAAGTATCAGCAAAACCAAAGATTATGGAAAGTGTTCAATTGGAATATGAAAACGTGACTAATTTGGTCCTAATTACTTTCCAGGACGGAGTGGAAGAATGGAGGGGATTCTCGAATGCCGAAAAGGATCCAATAACTTCGAGAGAATTGAACGAGGAGTTGTATGAGGTGAAAATCTCATGTACGGTAGATTGAAACTGCAAATGGGATACCATCGTTCAGGTTGAACAGAATCTATAGGATCAGAACTAGGCATGTCAGAGCTAATGCTCACACAATGTGGAAGATGCAATTTTTTCAAGAATAGACTAAAAGATAAGGAGAGATAACAGAGAGATGAGAAGAAGAATAAGATAGAGAAAAAGCATCAACTAAAGAAGGAAGATCAAAAACATCAAGAGAAAGGAGAAACTCTTCATAAGACTCATCCAAAGGAAAAGGGTCAATACGAACAAGTTTATCCCTTTAAACAGGGGCTATTTTAGAAGGAATCGAAAAATATGGAATGCACTCAAGAAAAGCATGCCGAGAGATGGACAACTTTTTAGACACAAGATCATAACACCGACATCCCTTCTGATTGAGACCATACCCCATGAAAACACAGAAAACAGAATGAGCACTCAATTTATTTCGCTCACGCTTAGGAAAAAGAACAAAACATACTAAACCAAAGACACGAAGAAATGAGTAATTAGGAAGTTTCCCAAACAACTTTTCATAGCGAGAAGCACCTCGTAGAAATTGGATGGACATACAATTTAATAAATAAACTGTAGTAAGAATAGCTTCACCCCAAAAGAGAGGGGTAACTGAGCAAGGATATGTCTATGCTTATGCTCAGCAAAAACATTTTGTTCAGGGGTACCTAAGCAAGATGATTGATTTATAGTGTAAAATACATCCAGTAAGTCAGTGAAGTCTTTCAAACAATATTCTCCACCCAAATCCAAACGAAGAACTTTTATATCAGTAGAAAATTGAGTGTGAATCATTGAATGAAAATTGCGGTAAATTTGAGAAAAATCAAATTTATGTGCCATCAAATATAACGACTATAATCATCAATAAAAGAAACATAATGTGTAGAGCCATCTTTAGTGGAAAAGGGGAAGATCCCATACTTTAGTACAAAAAAGAGAAAGTCGAAATAGACAAATAAGCACTTTTATTAAAAAATAAAGCAAACATCTTTGCAAATTTACATCTACAACAAGCACAGATGTCATTTGAGGATATATTAATCAAAATACCATAGGAAATTAAACTCTTTAGAGGCTCACTAGACAAATGATCTAACCTAGAATGCCACAAATAAAACTATGAGGAAATATTTTGTAGACAAAAAGAAGACAGCTTGGGAGAACCAAAATCTAAAGGAATATGTAAGGGTTCTATAATGTACATCAAATCTTGTACCAAAGAGTTGACTCAATTGTGAAACATAAAAAACATTTGGGATAGAAAGAAAGGAGGCCAAAGAGGAATAACAGATCCAACAAAGGTAACATGCGTTGGAGAACCATTGGCTATAACAATATTAATAGGAGAAGAGCAAGAGACACAATTACTAAGAGAAGAAAGATTAGGAGTCATATGATGTGAGGAACCTGTATCAAATATTCAAGTAGAAGATGATATATCGAAGATATGCAAACTAATCAAACCTGAATGAATGGTGGACATAGCAAAAGCATGAGATTGATCTGTAGTGGAAGTAGCAAGCATAAATTGCAATTGCTCAATCATCGACTGTACAATACTAGGAGAAAGTGTGACGGGTCAAATATAGAAGTTGTCATTGCTACGGGTGGGCGAACAAAAGCCTAAGAGAAGGACCGCTAAGTAGAAGCACGCCCTTTCTGAAGTTTGGGACAAGAAGCTTTCTAGTGCCCTTTCTGACGACACAAACTACATTCATCAATCCCAACACATGATTTTGGTTTTCCAGGAACCTATGAGCCAAATGGAGTAGACAACAATGGAGTTTGTGCAATGGGGATAACAAACATTGACGGAGAAGAAGTGACCACTTAAGTCACCTTAAATCGAGTCTCTTTAACAATAAGTTCTCAAACAGCTACATCAATTGCACGCAACGGGGTGCGATGAAGAAAAGCACCACGAAGAAGCTCAAATTGGTCTCTAAGAGCCATTAGAAATTGAACCAGACTTTGTTTCTCCCTATAGTGCACATAACTATCTAGTGCCTACAAGTCTGATGGTTCCATGAGTGTCAATTGATCCCAATAAGTAATCTAATTGTAAAATTCCTAAATAGATTTATCTCCTTGTGTTGCACCTCTAATTTCCCTCTCTAACTGATATTGCTTTGCAAAATTAGGGTGTCGTTTGATAACCTCATGCTTTTGTTTTTTTTTCATCTTATGGCAAAAAACAAAAAAAAAAAAAAAACAAAACAGCGTTTGGTAAATGTCTTCGTTTTTTGTTTAACTGCTCTGTTTTAAAAACAAAGTGAAAAAATTTCAAAAAATAAATGCTCGATTCAAAAGGGGATTTAATGAAATCTTGGTTTTGATCCTCCTTAGCAACAAAAAATAAATTATCTTGCTTGAGTGTAAAAGCCCCCCCTCTCTTTCACCCCCTTTTTTGCCTCGTCTCTCTCTTGACGCCAATGACGAACACTAGTGTAAAGCATCATCGCCAATCTCTGGGAAGGAACTCTCGGATCTAGAAGCTAGCGCTCCATCTCTAAGATCAGATTTCACTCCATCTCCATCAAACTCTCTGTGTACCCCAAGCCCTAAATCTATGTATATATATTGTTTGTGTGTGTGTATATATATATATATATATATATATATATAGCCCTAGATCTATATATTGTTATATTTGGTTAAATTTGTGTGTGAATGTGTGCTTTGAGTGTGTGTGAGAGAACGAGAGAGGTGGGTTTCAAGGGGTGTTAGGGGGTTTCGGGGGTGCTGAGTGGTTGGTGGCGATGGTGGATTGCAGGGGGTTGGGTGTGGGTTTTCGATGGGGTTGGGTGGCTGTTGGTGATGGGTTTTGCGTGGTTAGGTGTTGAGTCGCTCGGTGGTGGTGGGTTTTGGTGGCAGGCAAGGATCAAAATATCGTTTCGAAACGTCCGAAACGTTTCCGTTTCCAAGGAGACCGAAACGAAATAGTAATGAAATCGAAATTTTGATATTTCGAAGTATTTCATAATGTTTTTAAATGTATTATAATATTTAATTACATTTTCACAATTGTTTTAGAATGTTTCAAAGTATTTCAAGATATTTTGATATATTTTCATCAATGTTTTAAAAAATAATCCTTAAATTTTTTATTTTTTTCATTATGTTTTCGAAATGGATTGAAACGTTTCCGTTTCCTAGGTGACCGAAACAATACACCTAAACGATATTTTGATCCTTGCATAATTATGTAACCAAGTAATAACCTAAGCGTCAGTTTTGTGATAATCCGTTGCTTTAGGATCAAAGGGTTTTATTTCAGAACCCAAAACATAACTCTATCTTTCTTGACCGAGCAAAAAAAATTTCACCACATTAGACCAATACGAGTAGTTATCTCTATTCAAACGAATATTAATTGTTTGAATCTTATCGTCTGAATTCGACATAATTTGTTTGCGAAAATATCACCTATCAGCAAATGAACATTAATCATGAACAATACCGATGAATAGTATTTGTGAGAGAAGTGCGACTGTGGATGCGACTTTAGGTATTGCAATTTGATAGGAGGGGAGGATACCATGAAAGTTTTATTGGGTACAAAATAATACTTTCTCTCAAGTCAATAAACTAGATTATAACAATATATATAGCCCAAGAAAATCAGAAAAACCCTAGACTACCCAAAAGACAAATATACCCCAACTATCTTATATACACTCTCATACATATCGTATTGTGTCCATATCCCATGTCTATGTATGGGTCCGTGCTTCATAGCATGCAATGAGCTGACTAGACATCACAATCTCCCTAACTGTACTTAAGAGGTGAGCATAACAAAAGATCCTTCATCCATGTTGTTATCCCTCACTAGTATCGTACACAATAAAATGACTAATGGGTAGTTTCCTTGAGGACCTTGATACAATGATAAGCTTTGCTTACGAATCAGCTTCTTTCCCCTTGCCAGTTCAACGGAGAAAGTGATAACTTTGCTCCATGATCACTTATGATTCCACCCACGCTAATCAGGCCCAAATCCCCACGAAATTACTATCAATATTGAACTTTAGCATCTGTTGTAAAGGATACTTCCAAGTGGCTAGTGATTTAGTTCATGAGTCTTGTCAAAGAGGAAGACAGCTTCCAGTCAAAATGAGATAATACAAACTCTAAATGGTAAACCTAGCAGAAGATAGAATAGGAAATACATGAATAAAGCATGATATCTAAAAAATACAAAAATCAAGCAGTAGAGGCCTCAAAAACTGGTACAAAAGATAAGGCTAGGAATAAGCAACAGCTGCTTGATTTATTAACATCAATGCATAGTTTTATTGCTAAACTCAACAACAGTGAATAGTTAGCCTGACAAGGTATAAATAAACTAATTCCATCATGAAAATAGCAACTGAACGCAAGAGTAAATAGGATGACTGATAGCATTAAAGAACTATTGTGAAATCAAGGGAGTTAACTTCACCTCAGCTGAAGCCTCAAACGTTAGAAGTACAGGAACAGGTGAGCCAAGCGTGGGAGCAATAACTCCCGCTCTTTCCCGAGCCTTATGATCCAAAACCTCCAATTTGAACAAGATAGCCTCCAACCTGAATCAACAAGCATGCCAACATGTGTAACAACAGAAGAAGAAACTACATGGAAATAAATCCGAAATATATTCTCAAAAAGCTTAAGCTAGCACCACTGAACACATAATGAGAGATAATCATGTAAAGTTGTTTGATTATGTGCATGGAAGACAAAGTGTTGTCCCAAGAAGCAGGACGTATAAGATTCAAGTCAAACGCACTGCAAGGACAACAGGGTCAAAAGAAATATAATGAGGCTGTGGGGAAAAGAATGGTGATTGTTATTCTCTTTTTTGGTCAAACATAGAGCAAAACAGTAAACAAAATCCATTTATTGATTAGAGTAATCTGAGCTGTACTTTCACTCTCAAGTATGATCATGTGGGAAGATTTCCTGCAGTTCCTCCGTATATTAACTTTTCGAAGATGAAAAACTTCCCTGTACACCTAATTATGTTTAGACACATGTCAAAACTCTGTCCATGACCACATATTCCAGGGGGATGAGCTACTTGATTCCAGTAACTTTTTTTGAACCCCATCAACCGAACATCGTATTGTGGTATCTTGACCGCATCCAAACTAGATTTGGTCCACGTCTCAATGTGTAGAATATGTTTGCTAATGCTTTCTCTTCTTCACGACCACATATAATACAGTATTTCTTATTTTCAAAACTAACTTCTAATGCAAAAATGCATAACAATACTCCTGAACATTTCAACAATTAATTACAATAAGCTACTCGCCTGATCTCCCCAAAAGAAATTACAACTAAAGTGCCTTAAAAGATGAATCCACCAAAGCCACTACTATGATGCTGTATATAAAATTGAGCTCTTATCTTCTTATTAAAAAAAATTAAATTCTTATCTAGTAAGTTCAGCCATTCCTTGAACTCCTGGAAACATCCAGTAAGGAGCCTTGGAAATTAAAGCAGACGCTGGAAGCAGCTCACTATAACTTAATTACCCAATCAGGCAGTAATGCTAAAAATTCATCTGTAAATACAGAAAATCTTTGAAATAATAGTGATACATCTAGAATAAATCACCTCTTCATCTACAACATAAACAACGAAAAAACCCAAGAAACATCAAACATCCTACAACAGTTTCCTATCCTCTCTTTTCTTTTTTGTAATTAATAGTATTTATGTTGCATATCAAGAGTGACAATGGTTTCATACCTGATGCAATTTTTATTTTACAGAAGCAAAGTATATTCATAAAGGATGTGATATACACATCCATATACATATGCATACACATATCTACATATATATATATATATTACTCAGGGAACTGCAGCTAGTACTAAATTCAAAGTAAAGGAAGGAAGGAAAACCAAGTCAGATAATGAGAACTGTAACAAAAACAAATTAAAACAAGAATCGTGTAAGACTATTACATTTCAGCTGTTAGCATTTTTCGTTCTGTGTTGAACTCCTGAAGCCAATCTTCATCCTCATTGTCGAGATCATACTCGACAAACTCTCCAATCTCAGCTCGAGCTGCATATAATATGGTTAAGCAATCAGTATATTAAAAACTGAGATAATGTGAAGGTTGTTTGCAATAAAGTTAAGGAACAGTCCTTGTAGTTCACAGACCTCCCCTTGCACGTAGGTATGATGTTGGTTGGCTAAAAGTGCGGGAATAGTCTCTCTCATATGTATCCGCAACCACAAACTGTGGAGTAGGTATTTCAGAAGCCAATTTCTTGGTAGGAATTTGCTGAACCTGAAGAACGAATAATTTAGTATAGCACCATTGAAAGTACAAGTACAAGCCTGAACTGATACTAATTCGTGTCACAATGCTTCAACAGTACATCTTTCCTAGTTCCTAAACAGCAAATTTTAGGAGCACCAGCAACCTTAATACTGTAAGTGACATGTACTGGTCTGATAAACAAATTTGTGGAATGAATATCATTTCAATGAACAGAAGCTTTCAGTATTCAGAATTGCATAAGTACACAGAACATACAACTTGCTTATGTAAGTTTGCTGGTCAAGTGATAGACAAAGAACAACATATCCCCAAAGGATGGGCATGCCGTTATTTGATTCAAGGGTCAGAATTACATTTAGAAATGGCTGAAACTTTGCCATTTCAAAAGAGACCGAAATGAATTAGTGATTGAATCAAAATTTCAATAATTCAAGGCGTCTTGGAATGTTTCAATATGTTTCCACCAATGTTTTTGAATATTTCGAGGTGTTTCAAGATGTTCCGGTATATTTTGACCAATATTTATTTTCTGTCCCCTTTTTAGCTGGAAAGGTTGCTTTGGAATGGCAGGTGAAGTGCTCCCGTTCATTTTTTTTAATTTTACCAGCACTTCCCATACAGGAGGTCTTGCAATAAAGTCCAGACAACACTCTATCATCTGCAGCAGGAATCGAGTTTGAGACCCTGCTTTGCCTTCATGTTAAATATAGGTTGATATACTCAACAAGTCAACTAAACCTTAATTCACAATCACTTGTGAACAGCTACAACAATCTATTTTCACCATTCAGCACTGTCTAGATCTAAATGAGTGTTGCCAAGACAGAAAATGATGGTTTCAAGCAACTACTCAGCTCTATCTAGATCAAAATGAGGAATCCAAAGGAGAATGTGAGGGTTTCAGCCATTTGGTGCCCAAGTGATAGACTAGATATGAAAATCAAGCCATAATATATTCTTGGTCACAATTAGTAGTCTACTAATTTTCCCAAAGACAATGATAAAAAATGATAACTTAAATTTGAGTTGTGGGCTAGGGATATAAGCCATTTGGAATCACAACTTCAACTCGACGACAATACATCATCACTTAGTTGTTGGAAACATATATTAAGGGACACAACCATCTAGGAATCACAAACTCGCATTTCTTACACATAGGCTATTCCTAGAAAGCAAGGATACGGATATGGTATATGGGTACGTCACGATACAAATACGGAGATACAACAACATCTCAAAAAGTAGCATACTATTACCGCTAGGATACGTCTATATATATATATGTGTGTTAGAATATTATTACAACACTAAGGATATAGGGATTAAGAAATAAAACACATCCAAATTAAAATAATTTATATTACTAACATAGGATTGCTTGATGATGTTTTAAATTCGAGATTCTATGTAATTTTTAGTTGAAGACGTGTCACTCTTCGAGAGTTCTCAACTTTTACTTAGTATTTAATTACAATAGACTTTATTAGCTTTAACATAAGTCGTAAAAACTCATTATTCAAGCCAACCAAATTGTAAAGAATTAACAAATCTTATGATATATGTGATGCACGTCCAAATGAATATCTTGAAATAAGAAATCCTATTTTTTATGATTCACAATTTCTAAACAACTCACCTCACTAAGTATAAAATGAATGTATTCACCGTGGAAATACGCATATCCGAGATGTATCCGACAAGTATGCACAAATGATAAATATTTTATTAATTATTCAATATGTCGGTAATTATCCAACAATTATATAAATAATAAATATTTTATTAATTATTCGATACGTGCGGTAATTATCCAATACGTATACGCAATATCCAATGCGTATCGGATACGGATACATCACCCCAATCGAACTACCTGTGCTTCATAGGGGTATTCTAATTCTAAAGTGATGAGAGGTTGACAAAGCTTGACATAAATTACGTTCTCCAATATATTTTATATGCATCTAGCAAATGGTCTACTCTATGGGAGTAACACAAACAATTTAAATGTAAAATTCACCACGAGAAGGCTCAAACCAACAAAAAAAAACGCTTACAAACTTCTTAGCTTAATCGTTCAAAAATTTTGGAATAAGGAGTCAAGGTACTTCCTACACACTCTTAATCTTTGAAGCTCCTGAATGAAAGTGCTTCCCATGTCGAGCCCACTTCTCTATTTCATTTAGTTCAATAGGAAAGAATGTCCAACTTTCTAACCTCCACTTTAACAGCTAATTTTTTATACGATCACCCCAATCCATCCCGATAATTCCTAACTTCCCTTCTAATATGAAGCCTATGTTTATTTTTTTATATACAGACAACATAAATCTTGTATCAATGAAGGTCAAAAAGTACATCAAAATTGTTGGATAAGGAATCCAACCAAAAAGAAGAAACAAAAAATAAAGTGGAAAAAGAACTAGATCACATAAAAGCCTAATACATCACATGAAGCTCTCCATCATGCTAAAATAATGAAAAGAAGAATATCTTTGAAATCTTTAGGAACCGAAGCCCAAAATGCTGCTGGGAAATGAATATGATCCCACAAACCTTCCAAGCAGTCGGTTCTATCTTCAAAAATTTTTGAATTCCTTTCCTTTCCTATAACCCAAAAAGTGTAATGCCTCTCTCTGATCCCCAAATCCTTTTAAATCTTCTACAAACAAGGAAGTAGGTGATTCGGACACCACCCAACACAATCCCGCCACTAAAAACTAATTGTACCACATAGACAAAGCAATAGGGCAATGTAATATAAATGATCGATGCTTTCCAAAGCACATTTATGACAAGAATGAGGCCTACTCTTTTGAAGCATATCATTGGTATTGAAATTACCATGTGTAACAGTCCATGTAAAAACTTCCGCTTTAATAGGCAAAGCAATAGAAGATAAATAAAGGGGTGAGCCATCAACCAAGTTGTCAAGTGTTCCTTGTAGTAAACAATCAATTCATAGAAGTAGGTTCATTTTTACTCATTTTTGAAGAACTCTTCGATAAAGTGCCAAATATTTTGGTCTCTATATCTTCCCTTGTTGAGTATCTTGATCACTATAGCGTAAAGCTTTATCACTTTACCAAGTTTGGATGCTAGAGAAAATCAACATGTTTCCCACCTTCGGAATTAACTCGAACTTGCTCATGATGCATCCATATTTTTAAAATGAGAAACTCAATTATGTCCTTTCTAAGCAATGAATTGCATACCATAGCCATCTTCTTAAAATCGCATGTCATAGTCATAGCCATAGCCATAGCCATAGCCATATAGCCATCTTCTTAAAGTTTTTTTATAGTGTTAAGTGGAAAGCATGTGGCATAAACTATTGCATGCCTTAGCCATTCTTTCGTTTAACATTCTTATTATTTTTTATTTTGTCTTTATTTTAAGTTGGCATGGATCCAAGGTCGTGCTAGCAACATTTATAATGTTTTTTATAGTATCTCCACTACTAATTTTTTAAGGCAAGCTTTTAATCTCTTGCTGGAGAATCAGGACTCACGTAATTTTTCTCAGATGTTTATTAGCTGCTAGAGAGTTATGATGATTTGGATTCTGTTTGCAATTTATGTTTCCCATAAATAAAAGAGACCTATTAGTACAGATTGAATCCAAGGGCATACATAGACGAGGGACATAATCTTGTCATTGATGCAATTTTTGCTTTGCTCCCATTTTTTCATAGTGACTTAATCACCTAAATGATTTTATATCGATTTCAAACTCTGTCACTTGAAAAAGTACTTGGATGCCCAAAGCAAAAGCAAGAAGCACCACGAAGGAGCTCAAAGATGCCAAAGTTATAGATGGATCACTGTGGATCCGAAAGTTGGCATATGAACGAAGAAAGAAGAGGGAAATGAATATTTGCACTGCAAACAGCACGTAGAAGAGAGAGAATTCAATGCAACATGCAGTAACAAATTATTTCCCAAGGTTAGGTGTGATTTTATAAAATTAAAAACTGAATACTGAAAACGAAATGTTGTATTTTAAGTGCTAAGTGTTGAATTTTTAATTTGCAAACTATTTGATACTCACTTACATTTAAATACTGAATTAAACCAAACTGTTTGATAACTACGCAGAACTGATGTCTAAAAATTCACTATTTTCTAGTTTTACCCTCCCACTCTTTATTTTAAAAATATTTATAAAATATGCATTTATGTAATATAAAACCACAATATATTATTACAAGTAATTCATAACATAAATCACAATCATTATCATCTTATTGTAGTCTCATTGACACTCAAATCTGATCAAACAAAAATGAATTGTTAACCAAACAAAGCAAGAATATAAAAATAATAAATTGAATAACAGAATAATTGAACAATAAAAAATAGAATAAAAACGAATTGAACAATCGCAAATTTAACAAACATTAATAAAATAATTGAATAAATTTGATCAAAAAAAAATGAACAAATAAACTGTTAACCAAACAAAGCAAGAGTATAATAATAACAAATTGAATAACAGAATAATCAAACAATAACATATATTAAAAAAATATTGAAAAAACTGAACAAATTAAAAATAGAATTAACAAAGAATTGAACAAATATTTGTGGGTGCCCAAATTTAATCATTGTGTGTACAGTATGTCTTTGTAAATATGTGTGACTGTGTAATTTATGTGGGTTTATGTGTGTGATTCAGTGTGTGTGCAGGGTGTGTGTGTGTGTGTGTGCAGGTGTGTGTGTGTGTGTGTGCAGGGTGTGTTTACATGTGATTCAGTGTGTGTGTGCAGGGTGTGTTTGCATGTGATTCAGTGTGTGTGTGTGTCCAGTATGTGTGTTTGCATGTGATTCAGTGTGTGTTTGCGCATGTGATTCTCTGTGTTTACATATTAATGAGGAAGAAATGATTGTGAAACATTTGAGGAGCAAAATTCATAGTAAAAAAATTATAAAAGATGCTCTTCTTGGGCACTTTCAGTTTTCAAAATTAAGTAAGGGATCTCCTATTTAATAGTTTAGCCCATTTTTAAGGAGCAATTAATATATTAAGATATTTAAATTTTAGTTATTAAAAGGGCTTAATTAATAAGTGTCAAATGCATTCATTTTAAGTGCTGAATTTGAATTAACAAACACACGTTGAGCATGGCATGGAATTAAGTGTGACTAAATGCATTATTATGTAAGAATATGAAAAATGGCTTTTGCGGGTTGTAAATAGGAAAATACATGATCCTTTTTGTTGTTTTTGTGCATCTTTCTATTGAGGAAGAAAGTGAGAGACATTGTTTTCATCAAAACTAAGAGCCAATGCAAAGAGAGATTCTTCTCAGGTTTCTATTGATTTCTTATAACCACCAGTAATGTATAGAATCATGCCAATGCAACTTCACTAACTAACAAGCTATATTTTTCTTCAACTACGCCACCTATAGTATATGTTAAACTGGCACATCATTGGACACAAACAACTGTGATACCACGAAATCTAAATTCTAAAAAACTGTTGAAATATATCATCAATATTGAAACATTTTATCGACATTTGGGCTGAAATGGAACCTCATTATCAGCTTCGGCAGCAAGTCGAAGTATTTGGGCATTCCGGGTAGAAGTGGGGGTTTCTTCATCTTCAAAATCCTTGACAGATTTTACAATCGGAAGCTTCTTGTGAATG